CCTACAAGAGTGTCCCACAAGAGTGTCCTACAAGAGTATCCCACAAGAGTGTCCCACAAGAGTGTCCCGTATGAGTGTCCCACAAGAGTGTCCCGCATGTCCCACAACAATGTCCTACAAGAGTGTCCCACAAGAGTGTTCCGTATGAGTGTCCCACAAGAGTGTCCCACAAGAGTGTCCTACAAGAGTGTCCCACAAGTGTGTCCCACAAGACTGTCCGACAAGAGTGTCCCATAAGAGTGACCCACAAGAGTGTCCTACAAGAGTGTGCAACAAGAGTGTCCCGTAAGAGTGTCCCACAAGAGTGTCCTACAAGAGTGTCCCACAAGAGTGTCCTACAAGAGTGTCCCGTAAGAGTGTCTCACAAGAGTGTCCCACAAGAGTGTCCCGCAACCATGTCCCACAAGAGTGTCTCACAAGAGTTAAGAGTGTCCATATAAGAGTGTCCCACAAGAGTGCCCTACAAGAGTGTCCCACAAGAGTGTCCTACAAGAGTGTCCCACAAGAGTGTCCTACAAGAGTATCCCACAAGGGTGTCCCGCAAGAGTGTCCCAAATGAGTGTCCCACAGGAGTGTCCCAAAAGAGTGTTCCGCAACAGTGTCCCGCAAGAGTGTCTCACAAGAGTGTCCCTTAAGAGTGTCCCACAAGAGTGTCCCGCAAGAGTGTCCCAAATGAGTGTCCCACAGGAGTGTCCCACAAGGGTGTCCCGCAACAGTGTCTCACAAGAGTGTCCCTTAAGAGTGTCCCACAAGAGTGTGTCCCACAAGAGTGTGTCCCACAAGAGTGTGTCCCACAAGAGTGTGTCCTACAAGAGTGTGTCCCACAAGAGTGTCCCACAAGAGTATCCCACAAGAGTGTCCTACAGGAGTGTCCCACAAGAGTGTCCCACAAGAGTTTCCTACAAGAGTGTCCCACAAGAGTGTCCCACAAGAGTGCCCTACAAGAGTGTCCCACAAGAGTGTCCTACAAGAGTGCCCCACAAGAGTTTCCCACAAGAGTGTCCCACAAGAGTGTCCCACAAGAGTGTCCCACAAGAGTGTCCCACAAGAGTGTCCCACAAGAGTGTCCTGCAAGAGTGTCCCACAAGAGTGTCTCACAAGAGTGTCCCAAAAGAGTGTCCCACAGGAGTGTCCCACAAGAGTGTCCCGCAACAGTGTCCCGCAAGAGTGTCTCACAAGAGTGTCCCTTAAGAGTGTCCCACAAGAGTGTCCCGCAACAGTGTCCCACAAGAGTGTCCTACAAGAGTGTCCCACAAGAGCTTCCGACAACACCTTGAGTACAAAACCTGGAGTGTTCGGATTTGGGGATGGGTCCTGACCCACCATGTAGCGACCATCGTCCATGATCACCGCAGCCGACCTTGCGGTGAACAGGGAACAATCAATGACCGGCAAGCCGGTGATCTGTCGGAGCGAAGCGAAGCAGCCCCTGATCTACCTTGGTTTTTTCGTGGTTTTCTGTTTCAGGCTCGGAAAGGAAGCAAGGAGAAGTACGACCGCACCAAGTCACCCTCCACCGTGCACCTCGACGAGCAGACGGTCGGACGTGGGAGACAACGTGACGTGCATGAGACAGTCACATGTGGAGGTTGATCCAGTCAGTGTGCTAAAAGCCATGTTGAGGACCTGCCAATGGACCTGAGGAGAATCCCCAAGGCATTCATCGTGATGAATACAATCTGACCGCCGCACAATGAGATTGAGTATATTATATAGAGTATATTATTAGAGTAACTTTGATATAACAAACATAAGAATCAGCAGAATATCACACAAACTCACCCCTAATACCCAAAAATACATCTTGAGAGACCTTCAACATCCACCACCAGAGCTCTCACCTTCGGAGTCTTTGATTGTCCTCCCAAGCTGCGGACATCCGACTGGTGGTCGATCCTGAGGTCCTCCCGGTCGTTTCAGGGGTTGGTCGGGTGTAGAGACCAGCATGAAGTCTTCGCGATGAAGTCTTTGGTCTTGGCCCTATCCTCCTGAGGTATATCAATGTTAGCCTCCCGAAAGTATTCAGGACATACCTCAGGGACATGTGTTCTGAGCGGCTCATGGCCCCAGTCGAAACATGGTTTCACCATGCGGAACTCTTCATGCTTCATCTTCCGCTTTGTTGATGGTGGATTCCAGCCCAACTGTGAGGCTCCGACCCACCGAAATCTCTTTGCTCCGACGGTTGCCTCCTGGCTCCGGCTTCCCCAGGCCACTTTCGCCCGCCAATAGTCAACTCTTCTCTCCCAGCAGCAGCTTCCTGTTTCCGCCCAGCCCGGCTGCTGGGCGTCGCCGTAGGATCGGAGGGTGGGTCGCCCATCGGGACATCGGGTCCTCTTTGGGTCCCAACGGACGATGGAACTGGATGACGTCTATGGGTGAATCCGACCTGTCCCAGTCAGCTGTGAACCTTTTGAGTGCTTTCCAGAGCACTGGGCACTGGGAAACAGCAATCTCTGACTGAAGGGCAGACGATATATACACTGCACATCACTGCACTTTAAATACGTCCCTAAAAATGCCAACCGCCACCATTGAGCATTTAGGTACTGTATGTTGACATACCTTTTCATGGTCGTGCTCTACTCGAGGAGAGCGAAGTTGGACACAGTTGTTGGGATGTGCCTTGGTATAGGTTGAGGGGGCTATAAATGGAACCAAACCCAGAACCTATTTGTGTGTGCGTGTGTGTCTTTAATGATCTCAGAGCTCAACAGATGTTGGCAAGCTCCGGGCTTTGAGAAAGTGGAGTTTGCGTCTCACAAGCAGGTGGCAGCCCTCGTTGTTGTGTTTTTCTTCCAGCAACCTCCTTCTGTGCTGGATTCGACCCGAGGCTTCACCGCAAGTGAGCCCACTTGGCCCCTTGGCAGTGTTTGGTCGAGCTCGGACACAGGAACTAGAACATGGACATGACTCATGAATACTCGAAGAGCTGGTATTTGGACTTTCAATCGTGTCTTTTTTGGGCTTCCCAGCATAAGTGGTGTTTCTTGGGTAGTATCCGCATGTATCCGCCAGGCAAGGGCTTTTCGCAAAGCTTCAGCTTCAACCGCAACGACACGGGATTAACTGCCGCTCGGCGCCGCATCGTGTCTCCCCACCCGGACAGAGGACGCGGGGAGAGCTGCATCAGGTGCTGGGTGCTTGGCCAGGTCTGGTAAAAGAATACAGATGTACACAGATGTCCGGGACGAATCACTTGCTGATCACCCTGCTTGAAACTATCCGCTTGTAATTTCGCAAGACGCTCTTGATGGTTCTTCAAAGTGACCTTTTGATATCCCAGTTTGAGGTCACTTGTGCCTGTCAACGGTCACTTAGGGACTCTAAACATGTTAAGAAGCTGGTTTATGGTTGCTGACTTGCAGAATCGAACTGACACTCAAACCGAACTCCATGATGAATGGTGGATCCATCGCTGTAGATTTTCGTCCACCAAGCCACCATCCATGAGACTGGCATAGTTACGTTGTTCTTGAAGGTCTCTTAATAACCCCCCCATGTAGCTCATATGGGACCCTGGGTCCAAATCGTAGCTCATGTATGCTCATGTCGATTTTTTTCCCCACGGAACGACCAACAGAATAGACCACCGTCGGTCAACCCGACCGACCGTCGGTCAACCGACCGGGATGAGTTCGCGGTGCCATGACCCATGACGAGCTCATAGTGCCCTCCCAGAGGTGACGAGAGCGCTCGAAAAAGCTCGCTCGAAGTGTTCACTGCTCCCAGACGCTGGGACTCGGAGTGTTTGATGGTTGACATGGAGTGCTTGGGTGTCATTAAAGCTGCCCAAACAATCCCAAACACTCCATGTCATAGAGCTCTCATACCCCCCAAAGCGGTATGTTTGGAGTCATTAGAGCTGCCCCTGCACACTTGCAGGCACAGCTCTCCACTCAGCTCTCCTCCCAGCAGTCGGGGTCGTTGGCACAGCCGGCGGCGGATGCCGACGACGATGAGTACGACTCGAATGATGAGCAGGCCATGCTCAGCAGATATGCCCAGAGAAGCTTGGTGAAGGGAAATGAAATGCTAAAACTGCTCCCCAAAAAGGTTGTGGAAGAGTGTTGGCAAAGAAGAACGTCGGTTGAATTGTCAAACGCCTTTGCTCACGTATCTTTCAGTTGGAGTCACAGACTGCCCTCCCGGGTGTTCATCAATCCACATTGATTCACAAATGCGACAAGGCGATTCCCAAGGGTGCCATTTACGGCGCTAGACCATACATTGATGGGCGTGAACTGGCCGTGTTTGCTGGGATCTTGTTGGAAGGGTGTGGGCAATCCCTTCAGACATGGAAGTTCGACATTGGATGCTGCGGTTTCTAATTCACTTTGGTAGGGGACGTCCTTTTCTTTTGTGGATGTATAGAGCTTTTTGTGTGCTGTCCGACCAGTGTGTCAACAGTGCGTCCGTCACAATGACGGGACATGGCCGATTGAATAGATGGAAAAAATACACATGATTCTACCAATTGGTGGAATATCATGGAATATCACACGTCCCTACAAACCGCTCTTCTGCAATGCACGTCCATCGCTCGTTCTTTCTTTGTTTGGTGCTTACTGACCGCTGGCCAACTTCCACGCCGCAGCACCTCTCAGGATGCAATCCAGAGAAGATTCACAAGGTCCGTTCTGCTCTACTCCAGCCCCTTGCGAAAACGGACCAGGGGATGGAACGAAGAGGGACGAAGGGAGGCAGTTCACAGGGTGAGATCCAGAAATAACAACCATGCATGCAGAAAGAGAAGAATGAAAGACCGAAAAGAAAAGACTATATAGAAACGAACCAATAAGAAAAGAACGACAAGACGAGACAAGACAAGACAATGTGGCAATGAACGTTTTGAAAGGCTTGCTTTGCGTGGTGCAAGGATATGATTTTAATCTCTGGAAGCACCCAGAACGCCATGGGGGGTGAGGTTATAACATGTTGTAACTATGTTGAATCCTTCAAAAATAGAGTTACAAAAACTTATGATCGTGGTCAGAATCTATTATTGCGCTGCGCTGAATGTTGTTGTTTTGATGTGTTTTCTTTGTGCTAAAACGTGTCTATCTTCAAAATTTGCTCAAAAGCAAATGGAAATGGTGATGGCCGTTTTAAATGTGTAGGGTTTGTTTGTGTTTTCTGGGTGCGCGGTGCTGACCTCGTCAGCTCAGCATCTGTCATCGATGGTTCTGGCTGCGGCTCGTCCACAGGTTCTGCTTTGACAGGTGTTGAAGCATATGTTTATATTTTGGTTTGGATAGTAAGGCCAGGAGCCCAAAGGTAGGGTGCTTGTTCCCAGTAGTTGCTTTGCGGCCAGCGCCTGCTGCCCATTTGGCTTCGTCGTCCATCTCTGGTGATGGCAGTGGTTCGGCTGGGATGCTTCCTCTTCTGGGACATAGGGATCGTGGTTCTTCCGGGCCATGGACTGGTGGCGCTGCCTTCTAGTGGACTGGTAGGGCTGCTCTTTGCCTGCCATGCATCGGCCACAAAATCCACATGGCCCCATTGTGCAAGCTCTTCGAGCCAGAAACTGGAATGATGAGTTCGTCATATTGCTTCCAGAAAAGACTTGTTCAATCTATGCAACATGAGTTTTGCTTTTGCTCCAACCGTCGGTGATTTCCGAATATTGTTTGTTTGACATTTGGTGATTGCCAAAAAATATGTTTTGATGTCGTCCCCAAACCATTCCCTATACCAACCCCATACCACGACATACCAACCCCATACCAACCCCATACCACCCCATACCAACTCCATACCACCACATACCAACCTCATATCACCCCATACCAACCCCATACCAACCTCATACAACCCCATACCAACCCCATACTCCTACTACCATTACTACTAGTATTTTTCTACTGCTGTTACTGTTACTTGTTTAAATTGTGTTTTTACGCTATAGACTAGTCTATTGTGTGATCCTGGGATCCTTACATGTTTGTTTTTATGTTGAACATCGCCTCGTTTGTCCTAGATGTTGTTTGTTGTTGATCCCATCACTATTTGAGTTTTTCGATTTGTTTGATGCTCCAGCCGGTTTCACGGACATACATACATACATACATAGTTCCAGAAGGACCGCCGGCGAGACACAGAGCCCAAGAGAGGTAGACGAATCTATCCTTTTCAAGAGTGGGTCATTTTTACAGTATCCATATTTGGGGTCATCTTTAGCAAAGCCTGGCGCAACTGTGATACTTGGATCGCTATAGCCTTCGCTGTTAGATTGCGCGATCTGCCTTGTGGTTGTTTTGGACGGATTTGCACTTCAGAATGTGAACAGGCATTTTGATTCACGACTCCTATTGCTTGGAACACTCTGCAAGAGGACAACAGTAGTATAAGTTCCCTTCATAGCAGCGTCATATCGGTCTTTGGAGTGTTGAATGAAATGGTTGTTTTCAGGCACCAAAAGACAAGTCTCTCCTTCGGTCATTGTGCAAGCTAAAAAATATCAACCTGCGAAACTTTGCGAGTCATCCAGATTGAACTTGGCACTCATACTCATGTACCCTGCACACATGTGCCCACATTTCTCCCCCAGGTGACCCCGCCCCAACTGATCGGCCAATCTTCCACGCAAATTGCAGGGGTTTTGGTGTTTGGGATAGATGGCCGTGTGCTTGGATCTTGGAGAGAAAAACGTGTGTTCTTTTCGTGGAAAGCCTGGAAAGCGTGGAATTTGGGCCGGTGTTGGGCGGCCTTCTCCAGGTGTGTGTGTGTGTGTGTGTGTTGAGGCTGGGGCATCAGATTCCCAGCCAGAAGGAAGAGGTCGAACAGGTGGGGCGCTTGGCACAGGCATCGGTATCAGAGTGCCATTCGGATAGACTCATGGTTTTCCCATGCACCTGGAAAAGGATGTCTGATTCAAATCCCTAGGGGGTTAGGAGGTTTGTGGTTTAAACCTGGTCTGGGACGACTTCTATAATACCGGAATTCTGGTGTTTTGATGTGTTCCTTAGGATTCCACCCACCATTGTTTCAAAGGCCTTTACCAAACAAACCATTGTTATACTAGGGATTTGTACACTACAAAACCAGGTCAACCAATTTGGAAATGGTAATTGGAGGCTATTAATTGTTTTCTCTGGATTTTGTGTTGCTTTGATTATGGTGCTTGTTTGAGCCGAGCTGCATGCATCCTCCAGAGCCATGACCCAATCAACCAAAAAAACAATAACACAATACAATTTTGTTCTTCTACACTGCGTGTCCGTTTTTTTCCAAACTTTTTCATGCCTGGCTGGTCATCTATCCCTCCAAAGCCCGCAAGCTAGTCATGTCACCCCGCCGGTTTCCAGAAGTCAGGGGGCCCCCGTTTCATCCGAAGCCCATGGCCTTTTCTTTGGTGCTTGGGACGGCAGTCATCTACCTCCGTGTAGCGAGGTCCAAGACATGGCCAGCCGGGTCATGTCCAATCCATGAACCGCGCCTGCAAATCCCGTTGAACCCATCATCCAAGTGGCGTCGTCTAGCACAAGACTTCTTTGCGTGGGTCGTCTAGCCAGACGGGTCGTCTAGCACGTCTAGCCAGAGCCTTTCTTTTTTGCAAATGAGACGTGAATCACCGACTTGGATCGTCCTGGACGCATCTGAATCTTAGATTCATACCTGGAACTAATGGTTCACTGCAGAATAATTCAACATAACCTCATACTCCAAACATCAACTGTGATAGATCCGACCTTTGACTCGATCAGGAGGTGCAAGCGTATCAGCAGACCATGCAAGACCGTCTAACTCGCCTGGGAGTCTCCGGCCCCGGCGGTGCAAGCACCGTGTCTGCGGACCCCTCGGATGCTCGGTCAGTGCGGCTTGCGTGGAGGTGAGGTTTCTTGGGGGGCTAAGTTGGGTAATAGGTGCCCGGAAAACCAACGAAAACAGACAGAAAAACTGACATGGATGTGTCCCCACTTGTGACGTAAAGGATCTCTCAATGGGCTATATTGGAACAACCTTTTGTTTCTGGTTGGGACTGGCTTTCCAGGCGGGTTGTGGGCGTGAGTTTTGAGAACCTGATTGAACACCCCACATGTTTCAGGTTAAGTGGGTTGAGTGTTGATCCCACTTTCGGGCTGATGAACCTACGTTTCTGGACGACCGTTCCACACTCCCGGACGGAGTCCACGGTTTTCGGGCAAGGACTGCAAGGACTGCGTTGGAAGGTCTTGGGCCAAGAACAAGGTAAACCGATATCCCAGTTGTCCGTTCGATGAGTCTGGATGATGATCCGTCTTTTTTTGAGTACTCAGTCTTGATGACGCTACGTTCGGGGCGAACGCATCGCCTTACTACTAGGAGCAAGGACGCTATTAGGGGCCGATCGGTCTACTAGTTGCCCCCACCTCGGAGTCTCCCCAGTGGAGTCGTCATGGTCGAGTCATGTCCCGATTCTCGGGTACAAATCCCGGTGGTTCATCGGGTTTTGGCAGAAAGGACGGGATTTCTGCTTGACTCTTTCCCAGACACTCCATGGGACTGCCATCTGCCATATATGTCTAATTACATTGACCCCCAAAACCACCCCAATGTAGGCATATATGGCAGTCCCATGGAGTGTTTGGGTGAACTCCACTCCAATGTGAGTTCCAGGGAAAATACATGCCGACTTGCTAGAGATGGTATGGCGAGATCTTTCGGTGATGCCCAGTAACATCTTCGATCTGTTTGTTCATTCCTTGGGCAGGGTGTTGTTGGATTGGACCTCTCCTCACCCGATCTGGGCTCGAAAGACCTGTTTAGGTCGTGATGACCCTTGAAACCCAGGTCCCACCCTTGTCAGGTGTTGCAGATAGCCGACCAATCGGGTAGACGAGCTCGGAGGGCTCGCTCGGCCTGAGCTTGGCCTCGTTGGTGTCGTGAAGACCTGGATGAATTGGGAATAAGAATCGACGTTCGGGCCTTGGTTTCTGAGATGTTATTATACAACTTTAGGATCCCCGTGCGTATTTTTCTCTCCGAAATCAGAGGATCATACATGCCCAACTCACTGAGGTCGACCGATGCATATATGAGGTCTTTGGCCACTCATGTTGTAAGGATTTGTCACTAACAACCTGGGACAGCCGGGGCCCATCAGGGGCTTACAAAAGACGATGCCGCGATCTTTGTAGCGATTTGTGATGCTGACTGCAGGACTACAGAATGATCTTGTCTATTTGATTGTGTAGTAGAAGGCATCAACCTTCTTGAGGTTGATGCCATTATTTTTTTTCCAGAGCTCAATGAAGCTCTATACAAAATGATGTCAAGTAATTCCATTTTGTAAGGACCAAGCTAACATGTTGTACGGCGGAAAGGCCTTTCTGTACTGTTTTTGCCCATGAATTCGTTTGAGGATACTTTAGGATATCAGCGGTAGAGAGCCGATAGGAATTGGTTGTCAATGCTGTTATATACATCGCAGATTCGGGTCCGGATTGATTGTGTTTTGATATTGATCTTCATTGATGTTCCATACGTTTTACCCAACTATAGGCTCAGGGGGACAGGCACTATGCATGAATATTCCATCTTCACGGTGGCATGGTGTGGGTGCATTTGTCCCCGGTATCCACCTGACTCACAAACCTATATACAGAAAAAATGTTTCTGGGGTTTGGACCATCGTTTCCGATCGTTTCCGCCAATCTATGGGCCAAGAAAGTTTCATATTTCCATAGATTTTCCCTCCAACCGAAAAACCTTTTAAGATGTTCTCCAACCAATTTAGCATGGAATTGCGTGTCTTGCCTCAGGAAGCTGTGAAGGATGCTCTGTTGTGCCTTGGCGGTACCATGGGTCCAAACTGAGATCCTTTTTGTGAGCCTCGTTTGATGACTTAGACAACCAACTCAAACATCCCACCAGCAGAACCACCCATAGAGTCCACTTACTGTTATACAGGTGTGTTCTGTATGGGGAAGACTGGTTCTTCTTTTTAGAGGCTGTTTTGCTTGAAGTCAGCAGCTTCCTCACTGGACATACCAAAGGTGGGGGAAGCGATGCTGGACATGTGAGGCCGAAGTCCAGTCTTATCAATTCTCATCTCCAGCCACCCAGAGGATGTAAGTGTGCCTGGTGAGCTCAAACTGCTGTGAGTTGAGCAGAGTCCCAATGTCATGAACCAGATCGGTTTCATGTTCCTGAGTGTGCCTCTTGATGTTGGATTTGCTTCTTATGATTACGTGTGTTGTCGTCTTTGGATGATCACCTCAAGCTTGCTGGAGTCGTGAACTAACTCCAAGACCTTTCAGTGACCGAAGAAGCATGTTGCGGTATTTTGTGTCGAAGAAACACCCAAGAATCATCAAGAATCGTTACTAAGATTCAGTATCATGTTCAAAAATATTTGTCACCTATGCGTCACCTTTATTGTTTTGTTGACGTATGTTGTGTTTAAATGCTTTGTCCATAAATTGGAAGATTCGACAAACAGATACAAGGGCTGGCCAGAATGGTTATAGTTGTTTGATCGCTTGGACCTACGCAAGCCACCTACAACTGGAGCTGGCGGCAGGTCCAGGACGCTTCAAGATTGCTAAGTTTTGTGTTCTGCAGCGCCTGCAGGAAGGAATCGATCTCAGCAACCAGGATCAAAGACTCAGATCGTTTGGTGGGGATATGTGTGTTTTTCACGTCGTAGCTTGTTGAAACCATAATCAGATTTGTGCAAAAAGAACCAAACTCACAACTCGGGCGCCCCAGCCACGTGTTTGGGGTCGCCACACCGGCCACGCCTGGGGCAAGGCGCTACCACAGCGCCTGCGAGAAGTTGGGAAAGCTCTACGCCTTCGAAAAGCCCAAGCGAGTGGCTGGGCGACAAGTGGCGGCAGGGGACACCAGAGATTTGGACACAAACCAAACCAGAGTTCTACTTCCGCGCACGTGGAAGTATCTGTGGATGATTGGCTGTTCTCGAAGATATAGATGAAACAAATATTTACTTCAGAGGTTCATATTCTTTGGAGCTCTCGGGTCCCAGGCTCCTGGCCAGGAGGGTCCTGGCTGCCTACAGATGGTGTTCCTGAAACCGCACCAAACTGATCGGCAAAGTGTCCCCGTGTGTGGAATGCTTGGGATATACTGAAATAATTGTGGAAAGTGGAACAGTTCTTACCTGGAAGACAATTTTCCTCCAAAATAGGAGCTTTGCTCAGCTTCCATGATTGTTTGTTAAAAGGTATAATGCCAGTGAGGTCCTGCAGATGTCGAACTCACCGATTTGCTCCGTTCAGTGTCTTTTTGGAAACGTGTTGTTGCAACGAACAACCTCTCGGCATGCAAGATGTTCAGGTGAAAAAAGGTGTTTCAAGCCCCTGGAACTCGTGTGTTTGCTTGAATCGGTCTTGAAACCTTGCTGCTCCGCACCGGCTGACGTCTATCAGCTTGTAGGGCCCAGACTTGGAACATCATTTTGATCGGCTCGCAGGAGTTACCCCTCCAACAATCATGGAAGTGGACAACGGCCTTCTGGAATACTATGTTATGTTCATCAATTTCCCTGATATCAATGGTCCACTTCCATGATCCCTACCCGCTTAGGTCCACTTCTGGGGGGGGGGGACCTAGAAAAATGTAACTTACAATTTCCGGGGGACCCCATAAATGTATGTTGACCCCCCCCTCGTTTTGGGCCCTACTTATTCAAGTAGAGGCCATATTCATGGTCCCCCCCCTCCCAGATTTTTGCTGTGTTTGGGTATGTCCCTGCGTGCATGTTCATTCCTGGGAATTCTCCAGGAAATGAGGTGGTGGCTGGTGTGTGTCAGTTAGAAATTTTAGGGGTGCTGGAGAAAATGCAACTTACCACGTCCCACGTCCCACGTCCTAACAAACCAAAAAAATGTAAGCTACATTTGTTTAGGATATGACAAACACATGTAGCTAACATTTTTTTAGCACTTACAGGAAACATATATGCTTACATTTTTTAGGTTCACTTTGCATACCCCCCCCCCAGGGAAAATGTAACTTACATTTTTTAGGTCCCCCCTATTATATAATATGTAGGGATCTTCCATGTTTGTTTCAGGAAGTGTACGTCTCCCCCCAAAAAAGATAGTTACAGTAGACGTGTGCTCCGTAACGGTGCCACCTGCGCAGACACGACCGCCACCTGGCAGTTACCATTCAAAGCCAGCCCTAAACACGATGTAGCTGGACCGTCCAGCCTCAAACAAGGTATCCTGCTTTTCACCCATCCCCATCTTATTTCCAGTTAAGTCTATGGGTGGTGTTTGGATAGGGAGCACGCGTTGGCTTATAGACCACCCTTTCTTTGCATCCGCATGATTGCTGGAAAATGGCATCCTCCTTCACTCGTCTTGACACCTCCTGGCGTCTCCAGCAACTGGCGTGGCCACTGGCGTGGTCACAGCCACACTGCCGTGGTCAGTCACCGTATTTTTGGGGGTCCATGTCGTGGGTTTTCCACGCACTCGGCACGCTTGTTCGTCATCGACGCAGTCGTAACTTTCGGCCTAACAAAACGGGTCAACCCGACCGTTTCGGGCGTCCGACATTGTTCGGCAGATGCTCGGTCCCAGGATGCCCCGCCGGACATGGAAGCACGAAGGCAGATCGCACGCTTCGTGAGAGATCTAAAGGAGCGAGCTCGGAGGGGCTGGGATGCGATGGATCGCATGTGGATTGTTCTTAAGTTATAAGCGATGTATTCCAGAAAAGAGCCATGGGTTGTCTACATTCTACATCTTGACCTTGTTTCAAAAGTTCAGTCCAGTGTCCTGGCATTGGCATTGGTAACAAAGATGGGGAGACGAGATGAGCAAGGCAATGGCACATGAACCAGCTGCGACATGGCGCGATGTGGGTGTTCATGCAAGTTTGAAGGTGCTTTTCCTCAACAAAGTTCATCTAAGCTGCCCAACGGTCCAGTGGTAGAGACAGTGAAGGACGGGGGGACCTGCGAGTGAAGCCGTCGCAATGGAACTAGAAGTTGAGAGATACTGGAGAACCAACCCAGTCCAAACATGACCCACCCAATGAGCAAATATCATGTAATAGACTGCATGCATCGATGTATATTGATTTATGTGTGTACTGGTGCACCTGATGTGTGAGCACCAAGCGTAAGAAGATCTGATCATGCATCAATGAACAAGCTTTTCGAATCACCGTTCAAAAGCTTCAGATCGTATGGAGAAGTCCATGAGGCTACCGGGTACGCTTGAAACAAAAAAACATGGGCTTGGTGGCACTTCAGGATCCCAACACAGACGATCACGGCGGATATGCATCACTTGGCTTTTTTCGGGCACGGCTTCAGCTGGAGTATCTTTGGTTTGGTGTTCGACAGATGTGCCTAGAGTCTCAAAGTACCTTGACAAATGGGTATAAGGACTGGTGGGTTCTTTGGAGGGTCGAGGTGGAAGCTATGGTTAAGCTATGGTTAAGCCCCTTTTTGTGGCCCGAGAAACTCCAGGTTCGACAGATGTCGAGACATGAGCGGCATCTCAGATGCTGGATGTGAAGGGACGTTGCGTGTGTGAAGTTGGGTTTTTTTCGGACACCACACTACGGGCACGTCGCACTCGGCAACAAGAATCCTTCAAAGTGAATCCACGGTCGACCATCCTGCCACCTAGGTTGCTTTCCTGCCACCGCTTCCACACGGCGAATCTGTGGCCCTGCCACCCTCACGGTGCTCCGCTCGCTCTCAGGAGGCAGATCCCGATCGCTATGGACCGACGGAGGCCCGGCGAGTGAGCGTGATCCAAGTGGAACCGTTGATAGAGCCCACGCAGGAGCTGCTCCTTTGATTCGGAATACACCCAAACTTTGGACCCAAAAACCCAGGGCAAGGTGGAGGTTGTTTGACCCGGACTCACACTCCATGTTATGGGACGGACATGGTTCCATATAGTTGCTTACATTGGGGCTACGTTGACCTGGGGTCAATTTGACGGCATACATTGTTTCAATGCTTTTCATACATTGAAAAGCATTGAAAAGCATTGAAACAATATATGTATGACCCAAGCTGTTTGGGTTAGATTTGGCTTGCGCTGTGTTTGATGACCCGTTCAAAGGATCTGAGAGACGTCCGAACCGACCGTCCGAACGTCTCCGGAAAAGCTCCGACGTCGTGTGGTCGAGACCTGAAGGAAAAGCCACCAGCATCGATTGAAGGGGGGTCCATTCTGGAATCACAAACTTCAAAGGAACAGACTCATGGGCAAAATTCCTGGGGATCTTAGGCTGACATAGCTCCCAAAGGGATCCAGTCGCTGGTTTAAGATCCCTTTTGCCATGCGCAGACGCCAGCATGCTGTCTGCACGTGGCTGCGAAAAACCGGCGCCAGCGCGTGGAGGATGGTTCAGGGGGATGGACTTGGTGTTTGGCGTGAGCGCGGCCTTGGCGCCATGTCCACAAGGTCTTGGCATCTGAAGAACTGAGAAGGGGGTTGGAAGATGACCATTGGTCGCATTGGTCCTTGGAAGACGAGCAGTTTTCTTTGTTCGTTACACTGGTCAGAAGGCATTGGTTGCTGTTTGAGCAGAGTGTCCTCTCTCAATTTAGGCATATACTCCAGTCATCTCCATTTTTTTGGAGTGTCTGGGATTGTCTTTTTCATACTGCAAAAACATATATATTATAGAATCCTCTTTTGGTGGCCATACGGGCGTGCCCCTTTGGCGAGGTTGGGGTGCTATGGTTGTTGAGCTCTCTCGTGAACATCGAATTCAGCGGATGGTCCAAAGCATGGTCCAAAGCACTCGAATAGCTCTACACAACAGTTAACTCCCGTTTTCTCCAATTACCTTCTCAGAAGGTATTTGGATCCCGGTCTGTGTAGAAGCAAAGCAAATAGAACATAACTATCAACCCCTGGTCAGCCACCCCAAGATATTCTCAAATAGATATGCCACCCAGACACTCATGGACCCTCATATGCAGGGCATGGACCCTCATGTGGAGGGTCGGACCCTCATATGGAGGGGTTTGGGGTCTCAAATCTCTAGGTTTTGAGGGACCAAGGGCTGCTTGGAGCGTCTGGGCATATGATATACTTTACCGGTCCCAGTACGTCAACGGAGGTGATCACGAACGTACGTTCCACCGAAAGGTCTGAGTCTTATGGAGCAACTCAAAAGGACCCTCCAACCAAACAAAAGGATTCTCCTGGAGCCAGCCTTTAGAGGAAGGTCTTTCTTGGTGACGCAGTGGGTTTTTTTCTGAGGTTGTTCGTGACCAACATACGAGACGGATGCTTTGGGACGTCCCACCCGAACCCGGTGAAACCATCTCGACACCGACGTCTTGGACGTGGCCGGACACGTGAAAAACAGGTGTGGTCAGCTGATGCTCAGACCTCACGAGTGGACGAAACCACCTGCTCAGATGCTCCAAACAGCCCTTGGTCCCTCAAAACCTAGGGAATTGAGACCCCAGACCCCTCCATATGAGGGTCCGACCCCTCCATATGAGGGTCCAGGAGCGTCTGGGTAAGCAGAAAGCAGACGGTAGAGATGGCCGCTTGTTTTTGTTTCTGGCTCGTAGAGATGGGCGTGAAGTCGTTGTTGCCCTTCTTGCGGAAGAACTACCCACAGGCCGATGACCGCGGATGACCGCGGACCGGAGAGTGCGGCGCAGGGGCGGGGTGCACCGGGGAAGGTGCTCTGTTTAGACCTGCGCCGGTGAACTGCCGTGGCAAGGTAGGTCATGCTGAAGAAAGAGGCAGCAGACTTCAGGTGGTACCTGCAATGGCACAGTGAAGGGCTTATGAAGAGGCATCCCACATAACCCGAACAGATGCAGAAGAGCAGTTGAGGATGGCAATAATGACATTGTTCATGGGAGCGACAGTGCTTTCCACGTTCCAGCTGGATACTGTGTCTCCACACACGCACGACGCCTCGAAGCTGTACCTGCATAACAAGAAGCCAAAAGGCACCCTCAGGATCTGTGCCCTTGATCAGTGATGTAGTCGGAAGTAGCAGAGTTTCCTGTACTACTTGGAAAGAACTGGTTGTTCCAGTATCGCTGAGATCCTTTGCATATACATAGGAACTGGCTGGGACTGGGGAAAATGATTTTGTTTTTGGCTGTGTCCTTGAACGCCAGCGCCATGAAGTCGGAGCAATGCAGTTGCGGGTCCCAGGATGCAAAAAAACGCGTCGGGTGTGTCGGGGTGTCAGGTCCAAGGCTTCAATCTACGACTCGGTACGCCTTCCTTTATCCACTACCACCCTCCCATCGAAGCTGCGCAACCGCCACTGGTGTTCCCGGTGCCATCGTGCCACATCGGTCCAGTCCAAACGTCCAAACCTGAGATGGTGTGAATCCAATCCCCAAAGCCAATCACTCTCATTCACCCTCAGATTACAAAGATGCCCCCAAAAAAACGGAGGCTGACGGATGCTCCACCTGTTGCTGTTCGCAGCCTCTGACGGATGCTCCACGGAGCGTCGGCCCTGTCGTAGGTGGTGCGACCCTTGGTCGCCGCGGACCTGGCGGGCCACACCCTGTGGGTGGACGCCGCTTGACCTGGTGCGACCGGTGCGGAGGGTCGGAGGGTCGGAGGGTGAGACGTTTGAAGAAAAGCAGGAGGTGAATGGTGAGACCCAATGGTTGTTATACATGCGTTTTTACGGATGTTCTACGGTTTTGAGGTGTTTTGGGGCACCCACCCAGTGAGGTGGAGATGATGCTTTGGGCACCCGCGACTTCCTCCATGAAGCTTTGGAACTGGAAGTTGAATCGCTGATGGACACAGCTGGAAGAATGATCGTTGGAGTCCAACAGCTCCGTAGTTGGACTATCCGTCATGGCTTGGGTAGAAGTCTTAGGATTGAGATTCTGTGGTTGGGGTCGTTTGGGGTCGAGCCCACACTGGTCACTGGTCTCTCAAGCCTTATGGATTATAGACTGGAGCATGGCTTCGAGATGCTTCGAGCATGCACAGTGACTGTTCTCTGTCGTGGAAGGTCATCCAGGCCAGAAATGACATGGCCCTACTTAAAGCAACAAATACTCCACAGATTTGCACAGACTTCAAGACAGCATGGTAAAACAATGGTTCTTTGGTAAAGACCAACAATGGTGGGCCAGGAGTTCTACCAAAATATACTGAGTCTTCAGTACAGAATCTCCTTGAGGACCCAATGACCCGACGTGCCGCATGCTGAGATGCTTCATCCGCAGCCGGCGCCTTAGGTGCATGGGCCTTTGCTCCGCTTCGCTTATGCTCAGCCCTTGTACCATGTAGGCATCATCCAGCGGTTCCTCCTTTTTGCCAAGGACAATAGATGTTTCGCTTCAGGGTGCACATCCCCCACAGCTTACCAAGTACAGAGGAGCTTTGGACCTGCACCAGTGCCTTCGGGGTGTCTTTTTTACCAAAGACGGCGTTTGTTAAGAGAAGGTGGAAATCAGCGTAACAACAGATGTGCGTCTTTTGGTGTCCAAACAGCATCTTTCCCGTCCATGGATGTTGAGCACTCGTTCCCTATATACCCTTGAGCTAAATGGCATGTCTTCACTGAAATCCCTTCCACCAAATATGTTCACATGAGATGCAGCTGGGTCAGAAAGGCGGTGGCCTCTTGCGTGCGATCTGCCAGGAGCTTCAGTCCTACGGAGCCACTCCGATCTTTGTTTTCGATTCCAACCGCCCCAAGGAGGCGCCAACCAACACCGGTGTCACGATCGCACGCGAACCGGTCGCCAGAAGAATCGAAGCATGCCCGGTTCGAAGACGCGTCGCGGAGACCCGTTCGTGCGGAATCGAAGATCACAAGGCTAGAGGAGACCCGTTCGTAGCGTCCACGTGACATCTTCCTTTTGGTGCTCATGACTCGTAGGAAAGGATGGACACGAGGAAAATGATTCGATAGCAGAAGCGTGGGGACATTTGATTCTAATTTATGTGATTTTTCTGTTTGTTGTCTATTTCCTCAGTTTGACAAGAGGCCAAACTTGAACAAATTCATGTGTCACTTGGAAAAGTAATAACATGTTTTCAGCCACAACATTGTGATGTTTCGTCTTCATTTGTCTTGCGACTTCTCCTTCTAGATGGACGCTTATCTAATGCGATTCATGCCACAGAGTCTATTCTGTTTTGGGGTTTTGACAAGATGCCAGCCAAGCCTAAAATTGTATTTTCTACATGACTCGAATCTACTACATGCATGACCCTTATCTGGCCGAAAGATGTTTTACACCCAAACCATCCACAAGAATAGCTGCATTCCCTGAAAAACAAACACATCCACATGCGCAAATCCATGTATTTTGTCGAAGAATCAATGAAAGTCAACACACCAACAAAACCTAACACCATCATATAAGGAACACACCTGGACGATGTTTTCTGCGTGTTTTAATCTTTGGGACACACCGAAGGAAAAAAAACAAGCACGATGTCCGAAGGCAAAGGTGCGACACACCTTGCTGAAGCGAGATGGCGAGTGGATCCAGAGGCGCTTTTTTGCCGCCACTTTGCGGTGCACGCGCGAGGGACGGGGGATCCATGTTCGTTTCACCAAAGGGGTCAGCTCCTTTCAGGGCTGAAATTAGATGGGAAACGGCTCAAAGCGTCAACGAACATGCTTTTTCTGCAAGAAAATGAACATTGAACATGAAAGGTTCACCTGGTCCGGTCCATGGTCAAACATACTTAACACAAAAATTGAACGGTTGATGGTATAAACCACCTCAAATGCGCCCTTCCAATTCCAGGCAGACGTGTTTTTTGGTACCTATTTTCTTGCATCGACTTGGGCCGATGATGATGGACCACTTCGGCCGATGATGGGTCCTGCCGTTGGCTTGGTGAAGAAAGCACGGAACCTTTCGGTCCGCGTTTGTCCCAAGCCAATGTGTTTCTATATATGTTCGACTCATTGAAGATGTTTGGTTCCAGTTCCAATTCATCATCTTTCAAAGGCGATGACATAGCCACAGGATTCGATCCCGGGGGAGGATCCGGCAGCTTGTGGGTCCACAGCTTGTGGGTCCAGTTGCTGTCGCCGTCTCCAGCGGCTCCCGGGTCGGTGGTCGCTTGAAGCCGAAAACCTTCGCTTCTGGGGTCTGGTTGGACTACCCCACACTACTGACTTGTGGATCTCTATTGGACACCGTCCAGGTATATTGCATGGGTGCTACAGGATCTTCCTTCTATATGACAGAGGGTGCATCTTCATTCCAAGAGGAGACCCCTTGCTATTGCTGCACTGCTCCTCCCAGGATGGAGATGAGATGCTCAATTAAAGGCCTTATAAGCAGCAAGATCATTTGGGGGTCAAAGTTTAGAGGCAATAAACCCTTCCTCCAATTGGGGATGCGATGCTTGGTTGGTTTGGTTGTAAGTAGAGTTGGGCTGCCCTCGTTTGACAGACTCATGCTTGTTTTCCCTTGAGATAAACTTTGGCAAGTTTTATATATCGGTGTCAATCCTGCAACGATGATTCAGTTGTGAAAACAACAGTTGTAATGAAACATAATATGAAGGGAAGATGAAATCAAGTTCTTTAACCAGAAGCTACGCACGGAACAGTAGGCCATCGCTTCGAACGCAAAGGAGGCCATCGCTGGTAACGTACGAAGCGAACCGAACGGTAGCGGTTCCAGAACTGCGAAGAGGATCGGCGAGTGCCAAACGAGAACTGCCATCCTCCGGGAGTTTCCTGCCTGCCTCGTCTGAGGGAAACTGGGAGAAACTAGGTTCTCTGACGAGACAAGACCCACTGACTGGAATTGGAAAGACCTAGTGAAACAGTTGGATGAGATTATGATTTGGACTTGACACCGACCCCAACATCTTTGGAGACGCTTGAATCTGGTCACCAAACCATGCTCACTTTGAAGGACCGGGTTCTTGGGGTGTGAGTTGTCCACTCGTCGGGGTCGGCCTCGTCTGTTTGGGGACGCCACGTTTCCCACGCTCCGGCCCCGACCTTTTTGCACGGCCTGGCGCCCAGCTGTTCGGGCTCCGAAATGATTGATGCATGCGCGTCCGAAAGAACACAGTGATTCTGATGTTTCAGAGGGGGGATTGTGGCAAGACCCGCTCCAGAGAGGGGATTATTCACCATCACTTAAGACCTATAAGTCAGTGAACCAGGACAGTTGCAGCCTTGGACTGGGGGTGGGTTTATAGGAGAAACTAGGACATCACCTTGCAGGAACAGAATCTGGTCACAGCTTTAAATGACCCGTGCAGTGCGGCAGGTTGCTGGAACTTCAAACTACTTCCTGGAAAAATGGGGATCTCACAGTCCCAATCAGTTGCATTGTCGGCTACCAGCGCTCGCTACCATAGCCCAGTGGATCAGAGTTGGCTTCCTTCCAGCCCCGTATCTCTCGCGACCCTTCGGGGCAGCTGGCAGGGAAATAACACCCATGTCTAGCAGCGATCTCAGATGGGTAGGATGTGCGCTTCATCCTGGGAACCTCCCCCTGCAGCTCAACTGAAACCACCTTGGACCTTGCAAATGCAAGAAAAAAGGATGTGTGGCTCATCCTGGGAACCCCCTTCCCAAAGCTTTCACCTTGCTCACCTGCGCTACCAACCGTGGGACCAACCAGACCCACCATGCCACGCCGGACAGCCTCGCGCCATGGACGGCATCGCCCTGGTGATCTCCCTGAGCTTCGGCCTCACATGTCGCTCGGTGGACGACGGAACCCGATGACTTGTTCGTACCCGAACGAAGCCTCTGAAAAAGGTGTCACATGGCCAGCCAGCCCCAGGAGGGTTGCCATGCCATTTGTGAGAATGGACCCATACCTAGATCTTCCGACTATGCAACACTTCTGCCTTTGGGCTGCTTTTCAGTGTTCCACGGTGGGAAGATTTGGGTATCAGGGGTTTGCTTGTTGGCTGGTCTTGAGGCCTGGTATGCCACGTTCTCCTTTCCTGGTGCTGGATTGCCCGAGCCTGCGAAGATCTTCAGCCCCTTGGGGGTATTAGTCAAGCAGACCAGCACCACCAGGTCGGGTTTATAGACCCCCCTGAAGATGTATGTTCAATCCAATAACCACCCAAGCATGGGTGGTGCTGGGATCGTTTGTTTGTTTTTTCGTCATTCGGATGAGTGGCTCAGCCTATATACTGTCTAGTAGCTACTTGCTCCTAGTAGTATGGCCAGGAGCCCCTAGTAGCGTCCTTGCTCCTAGTAGCGATGCCAGGAATTGTTAGTAGCTTCTTGTTACTGTGGGTGGGTGTACAATGTCCCTGCCCACGTCGTTGGGACTGGTTTTCCACGGAGGGTCCTCGGTGCGCTGGCGAAATGTAAAGGACGTCGGACGTGGCTAGTCAAAGCATCACCTGGTGGCCTTCGAATACCATGAAAAACTTTGAGAACATGGGAAAGACCTGGTTGATTGGTGTAAAATCGTTTGCTTGGCAAGGCGGAGAGGGTCCCAAACACCAGTTTCGAAGCCCACATAAAAATTATAAGAGCATGCGAAGGCCACGGCCGGAGGCGTGCAAGGCGTCCATCGCCACAGCCTTAGCCCATGTTGCTTTGTGCGCAAATGTGGCCGGAGAGTCTAAGGCCCCAAACGGCAGCTTCGGAACCCAGTACAAAAAGTTTGGCAAGGCCACGGCGAGAGGCATGGAAGGCATCCCACACAGCTTCTCCCAAGTGCCGGGCCAAAGGTAAGGTTCCACCCTGCGGTGACCCAGGCACATCCAGGCACCATATTGAATTAAGGATGGTTGGAAGCCCTTCGGCAAGTCCCCAAGAACATAGACATGTAGATGAAAGAGTCAAAAGTGAGATTAGTGAGATGTGCCAATCATGGCTTTCCGGATCGGATAGCAGAAAGGCCAACTCGTCCTAGTTTAGAGGCCTCGCGGCTCCAGTCGTTTGATCATTCGTGTGGCTTTCAGGACGGGCTCCGATGATCCTGGCCTCACCGATGACGACACCTCTGACGGCACGAGCGAATTGCCCTTGGACGGGCTGAGTGGCTTAGGTCATCGCCTGCGATTGGACCTTTGGCAGTGGAAGATGGGACGAACGCAGATGGTGTTGAGTTTTGCCCGGCGGAATATAATATATATATATATATAATATATATATATATACATAACACAATAAACTGTAGGTAATTTTGATGTTTGTAGCATTGTAGCTCACTTGGCAGTGTTGAAGATCATTGTCTGGAGGACAGTAGCAGTTGACTACCAACTCCTCCTGGGCAAAGGCACGTTGAACAATCCCTTTTCATCAATTTGATCACTGTAGGGTTGGTGTTTGCATGGCCTGCTTGCTCCCAGGGCTTGTAATTCACCCAGCTGCAACCTCAACAATGGATTTCTAGACCGGGTTTCTTTTGGCCAGCTTGCATCCATCCCTGATCTCCAGCAACGAAAACGAGATCCTTCAACCCGCTTTGAAGGAAAACCCGAAGTGGTTTTGGGGGTTCAGGTTCATTTGCAGGAGGGCAAGGTTTATTTCTTATGTCCGTAAGAATGTTTATGGACCTTTGATAGTAGGGGTGGGACCCCGTGGTTTTGTCTATTGAAGAAGCCCATCCATTGCGACAAGTCGCCCGAACGCCTGTGTACACCATTCCTTGAACACAACAGGGCCCGCATGGGGCCGCAAAATTTGGAGCATCTTTTCCAACATGCTCAACTCCCACACAAGTTGCTCCAGACTGCTGATGTGCATTCCTTGTTGGACTCAACCCTTCCAACTTGAAGAACGGCCGTTGTCGTTTTACCACGCCACCAACACGAGTCGCCACCGAAACCAGGAAATGCGCTTGCTGCTGCTGTTGCCACTTCTGCCTTTGATTGCTGCACCGTGGACCAGCTGTGAAGGTGGTATGCCAATGTGGGCTTACCTTTGCTATTTGCCCTTTCTATTGAGGGCAAAGATCTGGGACACATGGAGGAATTTAGTGGCAAGGCTTTGGCCAAGGTAGGAGGTGTCTTTTGGGGTTCTTTCAGCAATATATGGAGTTTGATTCAACTCAGATTTGATATGTGAATGGTGGCAAATTGACAGGATTAGGATGAACACGACCATTTAGGCAGAGTGGCAGTGATGCTTAAAAGAACTAGGAGTCGTCGCAGGTGATTGGTGTGCAAGCCTGTGTGTTTTCTCTGATTGTGTGGATTCTGCCAAGGAAGCTCTACTTCTACGAGACCTCGACTGGTCTTGGTTCAAGATCGTTTGCTGTTTGGACTTTTGGTTAGGAGCAGCGCGGCGCGGTGGGCATGTTTGGATCATTGGGATTGCGACAGGGTACGGTACACAGGTACGGTAAGGTGTTCAGTTATACTTTGTGAAGGTCCCAGACTGCACCGATGACCCTAAATGCTTGTCACGAAAGGTAGCGTCATGGGGATTGTTTTTTTTTTTTTTGCGAAAGAGTTCTAGAGTCAGGGCCCACGGGAGTTGGGTGAACTGTGAATAATTTGTTGTGCCCCTCAAAACCTAGGGAATTGAGACCCCAGACCCCT